CACATGGCTCCTCTATTAACCCTTTAACAATGTTGTAGCGGCTAAAATCCTGTATTTTAGGCTACTGGTGGTTGTTCTTGAAACGCGTTGGTTTTACGTGCGCTCAATTAAGATTCATGATGCCGATCTTCCGTTTGACATAAAATAAAGTCATTTATTTTCAGTACAATGTCCATTGTCTTACTGTTTTCCTTAAGATCCACATAAATTCGACATACATCCAAACCAAGCACAGTAGAAAACTGTTTGCCTCCGCCCATTAACAACACCTGAACAGAATGATGGTTGACCTTAAATAACCCATTCCCCCATCAGACACTCACAACGCAAAAATTAAATACGCCCCCTGGTGGCGATAAACACCAGAAAGGATAAATGGCTCCTACAAATGTTTTTACCAGCTTTTCACTGAGAAGTAGTTATAATAATGAGCTCAGCAGAAGTGCAGTTCTACCAGGTGTTTGCTAATTATTGCTGGCTAGTCTGAAGGAGCTGCTCTGTGAGGCGGAAGCTTGGAAACTGCAACTCTAAGGAGGCAGGTCTAGATCGAGGTGTTTTGCATGTGAATGGTTGCCGTGGACACTAAAGGATTTTAAAACATGCATGGAAAATTTCAAAGCATCACTTTGATGCTTTTATAACTGTATAAAACAATGTGAAGCTCAAAAAAAGTTGATTTTACATAATACCGCCCCTTTAAGGCTTTATAATGGTTTCAGTTACTTGAGCAAAAACTAATAAATTTCATTGTTCTATGTAGGAATGCACGATATATCGGCAATATCGACCGATATTAGCCATTTTTTAACTTATAGGTATCGGTCCAATAAATAAAACAGATATGAACAACAAATATTTGTATTTATCCGTTTCTGGTTGGGTTTTGTCAGTGTCAAAACCGTTGTGAAACATATATAACATTGGTAAATATTGGTAATTAGCCATAATACACATTATGTGTCTGCTCGGTTGTTGACTGCATCGTGTTAAGCTTGTAGCTTTCTCTTTTTCTTATGTAACGCACCTTGAACCGCCTTGCTGCTGAAATGTGCTACACAAATAAACTTGACAGATTAACTGATAGGAGATAGGGTCATTTTATTTCTTTACCACATTTTCAACAAGGCAATTCAAAGTGTTTTACATAAATTAGAAGGAAATACAACAAAACGACAAACCAAAGAGCAAAAGAAGAGAAACAAAAAGAAAAAGGTATAACCCCATGTTGAAGAATAAGTAGTTTGTGATTTATAAACAAGTAGGGGTTTCTCTGGATCTTTGTTCTGATAATGTTGATCTAAGGTAATGAGTAGTTTCTCTAGATAAGCCTGTAGGAGCAAAATCAATATCCCAAATTTCCCCAGTTCCATGTTATTCTGCAAGATTCGAGTCATTTTTTGGACTGAAATCAGAGCAACTGAAAGCAATCAGAAACACCAGCTGCTGTACTGTGGTCACTTTATTATTTTGGGAGTAAACTGCAAATTAACAACAAATGTGTCAGTCTCCGTTTTCCTCCCCTACGCTGTGGAAAATGCGGCTGCAGGTGAAATGGAGGAGCAGATGGAGGCTGTGGATGTCAGGGGAGGATAACCGATTTCTCTTTCTGGACTTTGCATCTCTTTTGGGCGGAGCTCGGCCGTCTGAGCCCTTTGCCCCGCGGCCGTGCCGTCGCCACGCCAACCGGCCGACGCGGAGCTTGTGCTGCGGCCAATCGACCCCGCCCTGGGAAAAAACAAAACAAAACAAAAAACATTCCCAGCCTGCACAGGCACGTCAAAAAGTCACTTTGTTTTTCGTTTTCCTCGCTGAAAGTGGAGCTCGAGTGGGAGGAAAAACCAAAAAGAGAAATAAAAGACAATAAAGTGAAACGAATTCAAATAACACAAATCAACCTTAGAAAGATCATCGTAAGCCGGCTTTGCTGGAGAGGCTCTGATATGTACAGTGGCACCAGGTGGAAAATCATTGTGTGGGAGTGAAGCGATGCTTTGTTTTCTTCTACATTGAGGTTAAATAGTGTTTGCTCTCTAACATGTACAACCTACAGCAATTACAAGTTCCTGGAGTGATGGCTTTATCTCATAAATAAAATGCTGCTACAGTAATTATCCTCAGCAATCATAAAAATGCATCAAAGTCGTAATAAGGCAGTGGAAGCAGAAGGTTTACTTCGGATTCAGGACCATTAAAAGAAAAACTAAAACAAATCAGACGAGGCCGTGTGGTTGGTGATGCAGCTTGGCGTCCTTCTCATGCAGAGTGTGTTTGTTGGTTTTGCAGGTGATGTTTGCGAGTGGAGCGGCGAGCTGCAGCGTCCGTAGAGGAGGAGCCTTCAGACGGTCCGGACGGTGAGATGTGATCGCTGGAAGAAGAGCTCGGTTATTCCTGGAAGAGCAGAGCGAGAAGCGGAAGTGAGAAGCTGCTGCGCGTTTTATTACCTCTGAGGCTTTTTAAGCCTCAGCGATGCAAAAACACAAGAAATCACCAAATATTTCTTGTCCAGATTCTAAGGCTAATGTCTAAGAAACCTGAAATGGGACAAAACTAAGTTTTTAGTAAGAAATATGAGCTTGTTTTAAGTATATGATTGCTTAGAAGTTCTTTTCCAGTGGCAGATTATTTCACTTATAACATGGAAAATGAAAAATAATCTTAAACTTGAGCTAGTATTTTTTTATTATTAAGAAATTGACCTAAAACAAGGTCATATGTCTCCCTGAAAAGTTACTTGTAAGTTAGTTTTGTCTTGTTTCATGTGTACTCAGATATTTGCACTAGAAACTAGACCAAGAATACTTGGTATGTTTTTGCAGAGTGAGAGCGGGTCAGATGAAGGGTTGCCACAGTTTCACCCACATCAACAGAAGTAGAGACGAAAACAAACAAACATGCATGAAGGCTGATGGGAACGCCACAATAAACTTTATTTTATTTTAGCTGCTCTGCAGTGCAGCAGAAGCTGATTTTACGTCTTTCAAGAGAACAAGAACGAATGAGAATCAATGTAGAAACTAAAACCATAAAATTGGAGAAAAGATCTACTTTTCTTTTGTTTAGATAGAGGAATTACTGACTAAACAATAAAATGTTTTCAATTCAGTATTATATTTCATTTATTACTTTTATTAGTACATTTTAGTGATGGTATTCTACGTTCTACAGCAGAGAGAAAGTAAAGTAAAATTTTACCCCATTTCAATAACTTTAATAGATCACATATAAGCCAACTTTTATTTTAATTACCCAGATCAATGAGTCACTGAACCATTAGAAAAAAATAAATATTAATTTATAGAAACAATCCAAATAAATCGTGTTGAAGTAAACAACCTTCCTGCTCAAATTAAATCCTGAAACACAATACAGAAAGAAAGTTACTAACAAAACAAAGTTTTCTGGTATTTAAATAATTTAGGTCATTCTAACTGACCTGAAACAAGTAAAGTTTAGCCTCATTTAACTTCAGACAGGAAGAAAAAAATGTGCAACATTTTCCACATTCAGGTTTTTAATCAAACATTGATTATAAAACTGTGCAGCTTTAATGTCAAGCTCTTTCAAGGACTTTATTCAAAAATCAAGAACTTTCCAAACCTTGAAAACACCTCATTTAAATCCAAGTATTTTCAGGACTTCAGTCACCAGTACAGACCCTGAAAATCAACCGAAGGGCCACAAACGGCCCCTGGGCCTCATTTTGGACACCCCTGCTATAAATGTTTACAACCCAAAAATAAACTAAATAAAAAAAACAACTTCACATTTTGCTACTATTTCCAAATACTGTTTGTTTGACGAGAATGTCCCCAAAAGAACAGAGAAAACATTCAGTTCAGTGTTGCCAATGCTATTGAAACACTCATTAAACAAACTACACACACACACGCACACACACCCGGACAGGAAGGCTGCAGAAACAAAGCCAAGCGTTCCCATCTGGTGAGTCATGCAAAGCGTCCTCATGCATGCCTGAGCCTCGGCTAACGAAACGAGCTTCAGAGCGGCACTGCGCTGCGCGGGACGGAGCAGGAAAACGCTCAGAGAAGACGGTGTGAAAAGACAAGTTTCTTCAGGTGAAGTCACGCCTGCTGCAGCCCTCAAGCTGCTGGCGGCGTGCGAGTTTAAACACGTTTGGGAAGTTTGCAGACACACAGGAACGAGGAGCGATGACCTATTTTCTACAGAGTCAAAAACACAGCTTGCTTTTCATTTTTCCAGCTGGAGGTTAAACTCAGTATCTTCACACTTCAACTTTGAATCTGAAATCCAAAAAGTTCTTTAAATAAATCAGATTTATTTTGCTAATTAGCCCAAATAGTAATGTTTATTTGGCCGTTTATGTCTCCAATTGTTCATTAAAAGACTTTTCCTGAATCAACTTTTCAGAGTTCAGTTCTTTATGTCAGTTTATAATTATAAAGGCTGGAGTGAACTCTGAACTGTTTACAGTTAAACAGTGGGAAGAACTGAAAGACTTTAAGATGAAAAAAATGCAAGAAAATAAGATTAGAGAGGAAGGATAGAAATTAGTAAAAGAAAAACAGAAAAGAAAAAGAACAGAGAGTAAATATTGTAGAACATCAGGAAGCAACAAAAGGTAGAGAAGAAAGGACATAATGAAAAAATAAAGCTGGAGCATAAAGAGGAGAAAAAGGGAAGGGAGGATAAGAGAAAAAGAAAGAACAGAAGAAAGGCAGGTTGGACATAAAAAATGATACAAAACCAGAAGAAACGACAGTAGAAAAAGAAATGAATGAAATAATGAAAGAATAAGGCAAGAAGAAACCGAATAGAGATGCTTAAAATCAGCTTTATTCTGATTAACAGGAGTTTATGGTTTAAAAGCAAAAAACCGTGAAAATATTTACCAAGAACAGGGAAGTAAGTCGACAAAACCAAACGCTGCGATTTTCAGCAATAAAAAAATAATCTGATTCTTTATATTTTATTCAAACTTCATGTTTCCTCGCTCAGAGTCGAGGATAAAGAATCAGCCATAGATGATTATTTCACAGCGTTTACATTATGAAAATGAAAATCACCTCTAATAACTAACAGACTTAATAAAATTACAGGAACATTAACGACTCCGCTTCTCTTCCACTAAAAGTCTGTTAGTGATTTGCAATCCTGAGGATTTCTGATCGTTTAGTTTCTCTGAAGAGAAATGGTGAAAAATATTCTGACGTTACTGGATCCTATGACTTCAACTGGTGCTTAGCACAACTTCATCAATGTTCCCTCTCGTCTTAATTCATTTTATTAATACATTCACTGTAAAAACACTGATATTCAACATGTGTGAGTTGGTTTAAATATGGTGCAAACTTAAGAAAAACTGTAAAGTTTAAGAGGAAAATGTAAATGTTGGCGTTTAGATTGGTGAACCTCTACCGTGATGTTCTGATCTGGTGCCGTTTCCTGCAGGAGGAAACGAACCACTCAGGGTTGTGGATGAGGCGTCTCCAGTCAGATTTTCTTCAGGCTTTCCGAGTGGCGGACCACGCCTCGTTTGCGTAATCGGGCGTTAGATTTCAGAGCGTGACGGTGTGTTTGCAGTTCAGAGCCGAGGATCTCTGAGGATCAGCAGCCGGTTGAGCCGGTATTTAATCTCTACTTGTACAGACAACAACAGGAACACAAATGGTTTAATCTCTTCTGTGAGATGGACGAATGATTATTTTTAATTGCCCAAATTATCTTGTTTTAAGCGTCGTAAATAAATACATCCACATGAGATTCACCTATTATGCTCTCTTGGGCTGTACAAAACATGTTCATTAAATGTTTTGGACAAAATAATTCTTAGAAAATTAGATTTGTCTAATCAGATCAGGATGAGCCGTTTTAGGGCCTCCTGTCACTTTAAACCCAAACAAGCTTCTGCTGGCCACGCCCCCCAACTCAATGTTTACACTCACGCATAAAAATGGCTGCAAAAAGATGCAATCATGCATCTTTGAAAAACAGAAGTAGAGCCTCCTGCACAACCAACAAGAATAGAACAAGTGGTTTCTGGATGGTAAGTCAACAATAAAACACTTGTCCTTTCCAGCAGCCATTATACAGAGGTAAAACCAGCTGACCAAAGGTGATGGAGCTCAGTTTGGGTTGCTAGGTAACGGCCTGGGTTCAGGTTGGTTGCTAGGTAACGGGCTGAGTTCCACTGATTTGTGATTTTACATTTGGGAGGTTTTTTGAAACTGCTCATTTTCCAGACACCAAAAACATAAACACAATACTTTGTTTATGTTTTTCTTTGTTCTGTAATATAAATATTGTTTTATTTTTTTCTCCTTTCATTAATGTAATGTCCCACACCATGTATTTTCTACTGTCATGTTAAATACATTTCTATATATATAAAAAAACAGAACCAGCTGTATGTTTATTTTTTTAAGTGCTTGGGCTGTTTTTAGAAGCAGCAGAAACCCAAATGGAAGTACAAAAAAACATGCAAAATATGAATTTTGCATGAAAGATCCCCTTTAAAGCCTTGTTAATGCAAGCAGAGGCTGTGTGATCCAGCTTGAGTGAGAACAAACACCAGCAGCCCAACAAGGCGATGCAACAAGCTGCGAGCGCGACAGAAGCAGGCCGATCCAAACCACATGAAAACCCGGCAGGCTGGGGAACGGGACCAGGACTGGGTCGGTCTTACCTGGGTCAGTCCTCCCCCTCCTCTGGCGTGATCTCTGTCTCTTTATGCACCACTACTTTGGTCACTGACATGTCAGGGTGCTGCTCTTTGGCTTCCTTTATGGCCTGAGCCAGAGCCTGAGTACGGGAGGGTGCAGTGGCAGCAGGGGAGCACCAGGGGGAGACAGAGAACGGGGAAGAGCGGTTGCATTGTCAGTCACCTTACAGTCAGATCTGCCATTAATCCAGAACGCAGTCACACGTTCACATCACATCACAGCTTGAAAAGCTAAACTTGATATCAAAGCTGAATCACAAAGAACTTAATTAATTCAAAAATTACATAAAAAAAGCATTGATTTCTATTCATTCTGATGATTATGGATTACACTGATTAATTAGTTAATCAGTTAATTAATTAGCAAGTGAATTTTACACAAAATCAATTAAAAATGATTTTTAACAAATAAATCTTGTTACGACAGCAGAAGCAAGAAGAAGCCCAGGTGGATTTATAAACATCTGTGATGCTTCCAACTGTGTTTCTTTTAGGCTGAATTAGTTCCTTCACATTTTTCAAGAAAGAAACACAAGGAAGGAAGAACGGAAGAATAGGGAGGACATAAGGGAGGAAGGAAGGATATGAAAAAGATAAGGATGAACATAAGGGAAGGACACAAGAGAGGAAATGAAAAATAGACCCAGATGGATGGAGAACAGTAAAAAATGGAACAGCGAAGAACAAGGATAGAAGGACAGAAGGAAAGGAAGACAAGGAAGGGAAAAACGGAACAAAGATAAAAGGAAGAAGAAAGAAGAGTGAAAAAAACAGACATAAGGACACAAAGATAAGACAGAAGGAAGGAAAGGCAAGGAGAGAAAGTGTGTAAGGGCACAAAGGAAAGAATGACGGCAAGAGGAAGGAAGGATAAACGAAGGAAAACAGGGAGTAAGAAAGAAAGAAAAAAGAAACAAATGAAGGAGAGAAACAGAAAGAAAGAAAGGCAGGATAAAAACTATAAGAAAAACAGAGGAGATAAGGAAGGAGGCAACCTTTGACATTTGGAAAGGGAATAAAATCTGGGAAAATATATTTTTCCATAATAATAATAATAATTTTTTTGTTTTCTTGTAGCTATTCAGACCTGGAAAATACTGAAATTAAACCTCAGACTGAGTAGAAACCCTGTTTTTCTCCTCCAAGTTAAAACAGAAAGTTAGAATTTCAAATTACACACAAAAACCTTTTGTTCATATTTCAGAGACACTTTAAAGTAGTTTGATTTTACCGAATCATCAAAATATTAGTGTGATTACCAACAGGTTAACTACTGACTATATAAGTGTCGCACTATGATTCCTAACAAGACCTCTTCCTTATAAAGAGGATTTAACCTTCCAACAGGAAAATACATTTCTAATCTGAATTCATCCTGCATGTCTTGCAGCTGTGAGCCATAATCATGGAAAAAAAAACTGAAATAAACACCTGAAACAAATCTCTGAGTGTACACAACAAAAAAAGTTTCACTCTTTGAATTTAATTTCTGACATTTATTAACTTTCCAGAGGTAATACGGTAGAAAAGAGACAGACCTCGTCGTGGTCAATGTCTGCATCTCCGGTGATGACGATCCGCTTCTCAATTCGAGTCTCTGAGATTCCTCCTTTCACCGTCTGACCAACAGGAAACAAGGAAAACTGCATCAAAACATCTTTAATAAACACAGAAGGTAAGTTTCAGCTCAAGAACATCCATAAAAAGAGACCAGAGTTCCCATGAGAAATCTCAACTGGTTGCAGAAGCTTTAAACAAATATTCTGGAGAAATAGATTGATTTTGGGTTTGGCAGGCGGAGGTAAAGAGATGCCCTCTGACCTTTGTGATGTGCGTGGTTGTGGTGGTGCTGGTGGTTTCCGAGGTGATGGTCTGAGCGCTCAGCAGCACCCCAGGGTCCGCGTCTCCATTCGTGTCAACCTGTTAGACAAAACAATAAAAACTCAGACTGATTTAACAAAAAATTCCCCAATTATAATAACTGTTTAAAGTATAAAATATAAGATCATTAAGTCACTGAACTGTTAGGAATAATAAATATTCATTACACTGAAATAATCCAAACAAATCACGTTAAGGTAAATCACCTTCCTGCTCAAATTAGATGCTTATAACACAAAATACAAAGAAAGTTACAAAAAAATAAAAAAAATTTCTTGCTACGTTTCGTTGCATTTAGAAAATAGAAAAAAATTTGGACCTTCTAATTTACCCAAAACAAAAAAAGTTTAGTCTGATTTAACTGCAGATGGGGAGATAAAAAAGTGAACTAAAAGAATTTAAACTAACTTAAAAAAAAAAAATATATATATATATATATATATATATATAATTCACCATTATGTGATATCATTAATTATTGTTATTAATAGTCTTGTGATAATATTTATGTTATGAAATATCCCCTAAATACCTGACTGGTCCGAGAACAAAGCACAAATTAAAAAAACAAAAAACAATTTAAATAATGCCGTTTAACATACATTAAATTATTTCAATTACACAGATCAATAAGTAATTTATTTGGATTTGTTTGTTAGGGTAACTGACCTTTCAGCACTAATTAATTCATTGCTTAAACACAAAATACAAAGAAAGTTACATACATAAAAATCCCTAAAAAAAATTATCTCAATTTCTGGAATTTAAGAAATAAAATAATTTAATGATTCTAATTGGCCTAAAACAAGAAAAGTTTACTTTGATTTAACTTCAAACTGTGGGAAACAACATGAGTGCGTCTTTTCATCAGGTGTATGAAAATATCTGGTTTAAATAATGTTTTCCTAATTTAAGCTTTTAATCAAACATTAGATTAAACTTTGTAACAAAATTGTGCAGTTTGAACATCAAGCACTGTCCAAACCCGTTAACGCCCCACATTAGAAATTAAACAAAGCTAAAGAAATTACAGACCAATAAACCGAATTCAGTGTTCAGGTTCTCCTGATAAACCAGCTTAGCATCGACTGAATGTCACATAAAAGGCTGCAGAGGCGGCCGCTCCTCTTCATCAGCCTGACCGGCACACGGCGCTCCAGTTGGGCCAGAGCGATCAGGCGGACATGATGTCACCACGAGCCCAGTGGAAACATCCTGCAGCTTTAAGATCGCTGCTATTGATCGTAAAGAGCCCAGCTGTGGAAAGTATGGCGCTCTGACTGGAAACGGCCAGACGGACCATAAACGACTGAATCTATCTAACAGACTCGATCATCCCAGAAGCTTAAAGGACTCATCCAAAGAACCATGACTGAACGCTGCAGCGAAAACAGGCCCTTTTTTCTGGTCAATCAGTCGAACATTTTCTCTCCAGGACAGATCAGCAGCGTTTAGATTTACCTCGGCGGACTCGTAGGTGATGGTTTTTGTCTCTGTGTGGACCACAGGCACGTCTTTGGCAGTGACCTCCACTCCATCAGGAGCCTGAAGCATAAAAAAGAAACATAGAACATAAAAAATATGAGTTTGGCATCTAAAAACCATCTGGGATCCAGCGTTCCTGCACATCTTAGTGTCCAAACTGAACAGTTTTCCAGACTCAAATTCCATTTTGGTAAAATTTTTAAAGTATAAACACTAATATTCACAAATTATGAGACATTTTTATTGAGGTCAGGCTGTAAGTACAAAACCTGCAAAATGCAGAGAAAGAAGGAAAGAAAGGAAAGAAGAAACGAGTAAATACTGAAGGAAACAATAAAAGGAAGTAAAGAAGTAAAGGAAACATAATGAAGGAAAACACTACAGAACATAAGTAATAAAAGTAATTAAACAAAAGGAACAAAGAAAACAAATAATGAAGAAAAGAACTGAAGGAAGGAAGAAAACAACTAATGTAAGGAAAGAAACAAGTAATGAAGGGAATAACTAGAGGAAGGAAGGAAACCACTCTAGAAAAGGAAACGAGTAAGTCAGCAGGAAAAGAATGAAGTCAGGAAAGTAGCAAGTCAGGAGAAAAGTAAAAATTACTTCCCTCTTTAAGTAAGAAAAGACAGAAGAAAACAAAACAAGCAGCAAAGTAATGAAGGAAACAAAGCAGGAAGGAAGTAAAAAAAGGGAAAGAGAAATTTAAAAAAGGAAGTAAAAAGAAGAAAAGAAAGGAAATAAAGGAGAGACAGTTGGATGATAGATGCAACATTTAAAAAATATCTGACACTTTTTTTTTTGCCCTTTCTGTGAGAAAAAAAAAAACGGTGGGTTGAAGCCAACCCACCCCTGGGGTCAACAGAGAGGTCATCACAGCTTCGACTTCCTGTTTCGAGGATCACAGGGAGTCAGAGGGAGCAGCAAGCCGGCGACTTTACAGTAAATAAAATAAATAAACGATGACTTTTTCTCAACCTACTCAGGAAAATATTTAACTCCAGATCCTTCTAGCATCACACATCCTAATGGAAATAAACAAGTGTTCACTCCATCATCTCCATTCGTTTTAAAGCAGCCTCCCCTCTAACGCACATGACATCAAATTAGGATAAATAAGCTCCACATGTAAGCCGAAGACGGAGACCGAGCGACTGAAATCTCCAAACAAGCAGGCATTTCTCCCTAATCCAGTGAAGACGAGGCTGCAGATCACAAGGTTTCCATTAACTTCCTGCACCACAGTCACATTACAGGCCCTCTGATCTGAGCAGATGCACAACGGACAGATGCCACGAGTCGATTAGTGGTAACTGGGTCAGACTGGGTCAACTGGAGAGGATGACAGTCGGAAAGTTGCTTCACTCACTGGATCCTCTTCCTAGTGGAGTAACACAAAAGGCCTGGCAGGATTTACGGAATATTCTTTGATTTTGCATCCTGTGTGGTTCAGTAATTAAATATACCAGTTCCCCCCCCAAAAAACTCTTTTTACCACAAAGTTGTGTTTCCGTTATGCAACCCTGAACTTTTAATCTCCGGTTTGTTTGCCATTATCTGCATTTTAATTGATGTTTGCAGAAGGGAAACACAGAGCATCTCCTCTAAAACTTAGGTAAAGTCACTCTAAACTTTGTGCGAATGTGCAACTGTAATGACATTTAGATAAATAGTACATTTAGTATATAATAATAGAGACATCTAGTCTCTCTTCTGTAGTAGAAGAGAGACTAGATGTCCGACTGGGGTTTTTCTTCCAGTGATTACATTACGGAACATATTTAAAATGAGACGCAGACAGCAGGGGGGTTAATTTTTGTCCCTCTGTTGTAAACAGCAACAAAAAAAAGTTTTGAAAATATAACTGATACAGGATGAAATGTTCAACACCATCTTCCTTCAAAGCACCTCCTTAAAATTTCAGGGCAACAACAACAAAAGCAAAACTTTTGTGAAAGTTTGACATCTTAAACCTCAGAAACAACTATTAATTTAAAAGTAAGAGCTTCATACATCACAAAAAACCTTAAGATAGATTAATTAAATCAAATTAGACTCAAGTCGGGTTTTTTTGGCTTGGAATGTGCAGCGATTAATTTTCCATGATGGTTCGTCACCTTTAACAATTTTCACAGTTTACAATAATCTGTAAGTTTCACCCGACAACAGAAATCAATGTTTTGGCATTTATACACTTTGCCAAAATTAATTTGGCAATTTGGACTTTCATTTTAATCCCTGAAACAAGCTACTGGCAGGGAAAATTCAACGTTTGGTGATAAATTTGTCTCTGCTTTGCTGATCACATCTGAATTCCTGAGGCAATTTAGAAGGTGCTTCTCCTAAAACCTTTTAAAAATACTCAAAAAGTCAAAAATCCGTGCTCTTCCAGCTCACAGTGTTCAAACTCAAACAGAAGCATCGGTGATGGAAATATTTCCAGGCTTGGATTGTTCAAACCTAACAATTGCACAGTCCAATTTGAAGTCTTTTAATTTGGTTTTGCAGTGTAACCGCTGTGAAATAATCCCATCTGCAGAACACTGCAGGATAATCCAGGCCAGAACACTTTCTCCTCTGCTTGTAGCGGAGTAAACATGGCGTGTTGGAGCAGCTGAAATTCCTTTAAAACTCGTTACCATTCAGATGTCTGAGGAGTTATAAAGTGAAATAGGTGTAGACTAAGAATAAATCTTAGTTTCTTGGTAAAAACAACAGCTTTTAATATTTTATGACTGGTTTCTCTTCCTCTGCTCCTTAAACTACTGAAGCTGCATGCATGGTTGAGTTTGAAAGTTATATTTGCAAGCATCCAGGAATCTTCATGCAGAAGCAGGAGGAGTGGCGCAGTTTGGTGGAAACATAAAAACAAACATTTCTGATCAATAATTTCTGACTGTTTTAACACCGCAAACTAAGCCGAAGGCTGCAGCGCTCAAAACTGACCTTTGGTTTTGGGGACTCGGCTTCGTTTTCAGTAACGACTACCGCCTTCTCCTGGTCAGCTGATGCCTGCGAATGACAGACGCACCATTGTTTACGCTTTGCATCACAACTTCAAACATCACAGTCTTGATTCTTATCACTCCTGATAAGAAGAGAAGAAAATGTTGAATTAGTTCATTTTCAAGGACACAATGAAGATGCAGGCCTTGCAAAAGTCGAGATGCTTATGAAGCAGAGAGGTGAAAGAAATCCTGAACGTTTGATTTTTAAAAGTGTGAACGTATTCCCACAGCAGGATGCTGCCACCACCGTGTGCTACACATAACTTCTCGTAGTTTTACAAGGCACCGTCATGATCCAGAGAGCCGGCGTTCACCTTGTGAGAGGGAGAAACCCATCCAGGCGCAGACTGGTGAAACAGCGACGAGTGAACACAAAAGACAGAGAGGAAAGGTAAAGAAAGGACAATAAAACATCACTGTGAACAGCAACAGGGAGGAAAAATAAAGATATGAAGGCAGCTGATTGTATGGAAAACCAATATGAAGCACAAAATCTGGATTCAGAATCCACTGGGAACATTTTTCAGGTAGATCCATACAACAGATTAATGACCTGTCCTTCAGGGCGGAGGAGAGGATTTTGGAGGATGTGGTAGGAAAAACTACAACTGGAGCTATGAAGTAGAGGTGCACCAATTTATCGGCCAGCTGAAACATGTTTTGGGAGATCGGCCGACACTTACATGTGAAGCTGATCTTATCTACTGCAGAAATTATCTACTGTCTGATCCTGATCCCAGTGAGAGGAGAAGATGACATGAATGCAAACATGCAAACATGCACATCATGTCTGCAGTTAATATTAGTATCGGCCAAAATTCGAATCAGCAGGTTGGGATTTTTAAAGGTAAATTGGCCAGAAAATTGCAATCGGTGCACCGCTACTATGAAGGCACCCTTTAAGGGAAAAGGGAAGAACTGAAAAAAAAAAAAGAAAACTGAACAAAAGTCGGTCAGAGCTCCTGGCAGGTTCCTCATCGATGGGAGAGAGCTGCTCAAGCATGGAAAGCTGCTCAATAAAATGCAAAACAAACCTTAAAAAAAAGACTCTGGGTTAAAAAACGAGCAACAGAAAGCGGCGGTTAGCCTCCTGAGGATTATTAGCCATGCTGGGTTGTTCTGTTAAACCGATGCGGCGATGGGGGGGTTGTGGGTGGGCGGGGCATGGAGGGCGGTTTGCTTTGGGTTTTCATACAGTACCACAGCTAAGGACGCAGAAACCGTAACGTGAGTCGGACTCGACTTCGGCTGGATTCCTTCGGCTTTCTGCTGCGGCTCATCCAAAGTCTTCAGCTCCTCCACTTCCTGTGTAAACACGCCGACGAACTCTGAACTCTCCACCTTCTCCTCGGAAATCCACGACGCCATCGCTTTCTTCGGCGAGTCGACGCCTCTAGTCTGACTCACGTCGCCATTTTTAATCTCAGCTTTTCGCGAAGCTTGGCGTTTCTGCTCCTCGATGCCGTCGGTTTCCGCCAGTCCTTCTTTTTCGCTTGTTTCTTCGTCCTCTTTGTTCTCCGCCTGCTTAAAGATGATGAGTGTGCCTTTCTTGTCGGTGATGGCCTGCGACACTTCCTGTCTCACCGCTCCAGGGCTGACCTTGGTCGCTGACTTGTCCGATGCCTCTTCCTCTTCCTCCTGGGAGTCCGGGGTTTTGCCCCCCGCCTCCTCCCTCAGGGTCCCGTCCACGAAGACGTCGTCGTCCATGGTGGTGGACAGGCTAATGCCGTGGGGCCCCGAGGATCTGGCCCCGTCTGTCACAACGCTATCCGCCACGTATTTCACCAGAAATCCCGCCGCAGCCTGGGGAGAAACTCCACTCGTTGGAAAAAAGGAACGGCTCAGGTTAAAAGGACAGAGGGCGTCACGCAACGAGAACCAGGCGGACGCACAAACGCAGGCTGAGCTCCACAAGCATCCGGATACAATTTACCTTTCAATCATAAAAATATAGTTAACTTAATCTGATCAGAACGGTTGGGACTTCGGGTTTACTTTCACATCAGATTAATTCACTGGTTAAAATCATATACGGCAGGATCTGCATACTTGTGGAGCTGGAAAGACACAGCAACACGTAGAAACGTCCAAAACGCCCAGAAACAGGAAGTAGCTCACCACAGTGTCTTTAGGTCCCACTTCCTGCTTCGTCTGCTCATCTTTCGCCTGAAAGGAAACAGAAAAAGTTTGACAACATTCAAATCAAATGGGAAACATTCAGGGTTTAAATCTCCACCAGAGGCGCTGCTATTAGATCTGCACTTAAAGAAAAAAGATTATCCAGCTTTCAAAAACTGAGTTAATTTGTTACATGTAATCTAATTAAGTTTACCCAAGTAAATACATTGGGTTAATTAATTTGTCTTGTTAGACAAAGGTAAATAAATTAAGATTGGCAAACTTAATTCGATTTTATGTAACAAATTAAGTCATTTTTTAAAGTTGGAGCTCCATTTTCTTCTTTCAGTCAGTTTTAGTCAAAATGTGAAACTTATTGCTGATATTAGATTAGAGACTTTATTAGTTGACAAATTCATATGCCAACCATTTGCTGATGAGAAAATGTGACAAACCAGTAATCTAACTGAAAACACAAAGTGCAAAGTGAATTATATTGTTAAGGAACACTGTAAAAAACAAACAAAAAACACCGCGCAATGTTAATACATTTAAGAAACCTTAAAATATACAAAACCTGTGATGTGAGAATTTTTATTCAGCATTGGAAAAATATCTCGTGAAAAAAATATTTTTTTAATCTTGTAATTCCAGAAACGTCATTAGAAATTCTTGACTTTTGTTTTCCTGATAAGAGAATAGATAGATAGCTAAGAGAGGACAGACGTCTAAATCTGTCAGTCTGTTCAAAATGAGAAAAAAAGAGAACATCCTGATGCGCTTTTATCTTCATTAATACTGCAGTGACAGCTATTTGCCCAAACTTGCCCATATCTACAATCTGGGCAATAACAGAAAAGTTTAAAACAACAAACTGTGACGAAAACTGTTGAAAGTTGAACAGCGTTTCTCTCACTTTCAACACAGTTACCAACTGGATGGTTTTTAAATAAAGCAAATAAGATGTGTCTAAATAAATATGCGCAAGAACTTAAAAGCACTTCATTGTAAAAGAAAGTCTAAATGCGTCTAAAATGTTGTAAATCTGTAAATACCAGCAACTCCACAGAGAAATCTGTGAAAAACCATCATTTAACCCCAAACCGTCAGTTTCTCCTCTGCCGTTTACGGCCCTAAGGGAGTCCAAGTCGAGATTTCTGGGGCAAATCATCAGTTTCTACAGAAAACCTCTGAGAGGTGGAAATCATACCATCCAAACAAAGCAATGAAAGAAATTCGGAGCTCTTTTGTCAAACGGTCAACAGAAGCAGAATCAATAATGCCGCGCTCCGCCCATAACGGCCGCACGTCCCATTGTTCAGAAACTAAACCCGATAGACCAGCTGACGATTTGAGTCCAGATCAGTCCTAAAGTCAAACAGACAGACGGACAGACGGCTGGTCGAACCGGCAGCTACATCCCCACAAAGAGACGCCAGAATCCAAAAACACTCACATGTGATGAGAAAGAAGCGAGTCTGAGCTTTGTGTTAAAGATTTAGCTTTGGGGCTGGGCGATGAGTCGAGTTTTGGCTTTTGAAGATTTAATGTGTGGAAAATCTGGATTTTATTTTTTTTTTCCACCAACCGTCATCGGGTTCCCGTCATTCAGTGACGTCAGCACGGCCGAGGCGGCCATCTTGTTTTACAACTTTATTTGGACTTTGAATTCAGGTTGATTTTATGAATAATAGGGCCAGGACAAGGCTTTTTATTATTATTATATATAGAATAAAGTCAGAATTTTATGAGAACTGCAGTACAAAAAATAGAAAATTTAAATAAGGATGTATCAGCTTTACAGAAAATACTTAATAGAAACACTTTAGCTTTTAAAATATTAACATTAAATTATTACCATTAGCAGGACTTTATGCAAATAACTGCATTTCAAAGAAAGATCCACACAAACTGAGCTATAGTATTAATAAAAAGGGCTAGTTTTAGGTGGAATAACCTGCCAATGGAACAAGACATTTACTCATAAGTTAAAACGTTTTGCTCCACTGACAAAAACTAGTATTTCTTTCATAGATATTAGGGAATTATTTAGTTAAAACAAGCTGTTGAAAAGTTATTTGTAAGTTAGTCTTATTTCAAGTGTATTAAAGATGTTTGCACTAGATTTTGTGTTTTTACAGAGTATAAAAACTCTCGGAAATCAGACGGATTCTGATGCCAGATAGATTTACACTCCCATAAATCTGAGACCGCCACCCTAAAATATACTCTGCGATGATTCCTGCTGCCTTATTTCACTAAAGACGTCGTTCGCTGACGCCGCGCCCCACACAGACATGCCGTCGCCACGGCTGCAGCTTACGTCCTGCAGCTCCAGCGGCTCGATCATCGGGGCTTCGTCCGATCTGGGCGAGCGCAGAGGCGACGACGACAGCCTCTTCTCCCACTCCGTCAGACCCGGAGCGCCGCAGCCGCCATTGCTACCGGTCTCCAGGAAGGAGCGCTTCAGCTCGCTGATGTTGGTCTGGTGCTTGACCACCTCGGGCGGAGGCTCGGAGTCCTGCGGCCGACGAACCGCGGCACAGGGAGGCAGGGAGGGAGGGAACGAGTCAAGCTTTATATACGCAACAGCAGCTCGTAGCTCCAAACGAGGTACGAAGCAGAAAAATCTGAAAGCTGCTTTTCTCTGGGTTCCTACACACGTTCATGTCAAAACACTACGATCTTCAAGACCGTCTGCAAGTACAAGCACAAAAGCTCCATATGAGTTTTTGGCAGAAATTTCTACAGTGAGACAGCCGCATTAGCAAGCAGATGGATGGATGGAGGGATGGATACAGGAATGAATGGATGAACAACCTTATGGAAAGAGTGAATGGATGGATAGAGGGATGATGAAGCGATGGATGGATGAGTAAACACACGAATGGATGAATGACAGACGGATAAAGAGCTTTTGAAGAATGTGAAAATATAAATTTATTCTCCTTCATCTTATTAAAAGTTAAATTCTGGGTTTTTCCCAGACTGTGTAGGAACCCTGATTTCTGCAGACTTGCACCACAAATACACACACACACACACACACACACCCACACACACACACACACACACACACACACACACACATTGTTACTATGAGGGAAGTGATTTTAAAGGCTCTGCAGAGCCTTTAAACACAAAAATATAAACTTAAATGCTTGGAAGCATTTAAGACCAACTCAGAGAAAAAAAGTTAGAAAAAAAGGTTTCATGCTTTGTGTTTAACCACAACACTCCCACATCTCAAAACAAACCTATTCCAGTTTAATTTTGTTTGTTTTTAAAGAGTCTGAAAGATCACAGCAGCAGCTACTTCAAACCGCAGTCAAGAAAACCGTACGCCACGCTCTGATTGGTCCGCTCATCAGAAGTATTTTTAATTCCTTAAAAGCACCTGCATGCATATTTCAGATGTGCTCCGTTTCTTACCAACCTCTAGCATCAGATTACTGTGCCTGATAAAAACATTTTCCCCTTTTGCTCGTCTTATGAAACTATACTGCGAAAGACAGAGAAAGGGCAAAGGAGATGTTAGGCGCTGCAGTTCAACTCTTGTTTGGAGAAAATGGGAGCTTTGGCTTCTGCTGCATGGGAGTAACTAAAAGGGGGTAAAACAATCATGCCAAAAATAAACAACTTAAAGAGGATAAAATCCGACTCTTGGGTGTGGCTGAATGATAACCCAGACGAAATGGACAATTAGTTGGCTGTTTGAGGAAAACCAAAGCAGAAAGGAAGGGAAACCAATGAGTGAAAGCTGATTTTGGTTCCAGTCACCCAGCGGGGTCCCACAGCGACCCCGGTGTACCTGAGTCCGCATCTCGGAGTCTTCATCGGCTTCCGACTGACAGCAAGCAAAACGGAGAGAAGAGAGAAGGTGAGAGGAGGCAGAAAGCCGAGAGGCGAGGTTAAATCAGAAAATAGACAGAAAATAAAGAATTGAAGGGAAAAAAAGAATCATTTTTTCAGATCTGGAACACAACAAACACACAACGTCTGGCTGTTAAGGTCTTAAAGCTCCGCCTTGAGCCACGTTTCACTTTTAAAACGGACATGAAACCAAGCTGCATAAAGTCAGGTACAGGTAAAACCAGAAGTTTACACACACTGAATAAAGAGACACTTCATCACTGTCTGAAGTTAATCAGACCAATATACCAAAATTATTTCTATCACTATCATAAAAGTGCACCAAATAGAAATAATTTCTCATCCTCCCGTGGATCACATGGGTAAGTTTTGCATTTCCGTCATCATTATTTAGTGTATTTTCTCAAAACTTGGCATCATATGGGTCAGATCTGCTGTTTCTGTGCCATGCGCATCATGATCCTGCATCATATTTGTGCGGTTAGGTTTGTGCGGTTTATGCGTGTTGGGGATGCGGCTGCGTTCGTGTGGATCAGGTCCGATAATATCCAGCAGGCGCCTCCGACTAACTGACCTAAAACGTTTTGGTCCGATTTGACTTCAGACTGTTAGAAAAAAGGAGCATATGCCGATTTATTTACTTACTTCTGATTTCTATAACTTAAAATTTTAAAAGAAAATAAATGTGGTAGTTTAATTTGTCGTATGCATCTTTGCTTTTTCTTTTAAACCAAAACCAAAGCATTTTTTTAGATAGTATTTTTTTATTATTTTTTTACTTGTGCCATTTTATTACAGAATGAGGCTGTAACTTGTAATTTGGCTGGATTTAGTGCAAACTAAACAAAGCAGGAGAATTAAAGTAAATTACTTTCAACATGCTTAAACAATCTTTCCCTCAAATTTCCATTAGCTGAAGGGGACACTGTGAAAACTTTTATTATCTTTAAATCACATCTCACAGTGAGTGGAAAAACAGTGTTACGACTAAAGCATGCTACAACTTGAACCCCTATTGAGCCACGTAACAATTTGTTGCATTAAAATAAACAAAAATCCAACCGAAATCATCATGGCTGCTATAAATGGTTTTCTGCAAAATGCATTTCAGATTTTAGTTGGTAAAAACTGATGATTGAGTAGAAAAGTTTAATTTTATTGTAAAACTAATTATAGTTCATGGTATAATGTGCTTTAAAAGGAATTGCATAATAAAGGAAAGGCCCACAGATCAGTGAAATGAAACTAAAAGAACTTATAAAAAAGGAAGATACTCAAAAATAAGGAAGTGCAAAAACAGTAATATCAAAAACAAAAACAAGAGCCAAGACGTGCAGACCAACCATTTGAGTGACCTTCTTTTGCTTTTTTTTTTTTTAACTCTCTTTTTGACGTACAAACCTCTGTGGCGGTCATCTCTCCATCACAGGCAAAGTCCGTACGTTCGCTGTCGGTCTGCGATTGCAGACCAAAGCAAAACATTCCGAGATGCAAACGAGAGAAAGAAGAAGGACCCAACTTGTAAAAAAAAAACTACGTTTATAATCAACACAGATTTGTTGCTACCACACATGAGAGGCTGTCAGATGATGTCACTGATGTCAGACAAGGAGCACAGCTAAAGTCTGAAACTGACCAAAAACAACATCAACAAAAAAAGAGAAACAAAGCAAGCAGAACAGACTCAGAGGAAGCTGATCGGAAAGTGGACTGTCGCTCAATTTGTGCTGAAGAGGTTGCAACTACAGATTAGAAGTTTACATGCACTCATCTCTAAATTTATAAAGAAGCAATTTGAACTGTTGTTTTTACAGGGTGGACTGGTGACCCAGCAAACAATTTCAATGGTTAAAGAATTAAATGAAACTTTCAGGACGGCAGAGTTGGGCTGCTGTTGAATATAACAGCTGAAGTTTTACGTGAAAGGAAAAAAATGTGTCTTTGTGATTTCTGTTTCAATAACCCCATTATGAAAAGAACTGATAAACACTTTTGTTCTTAGCTTCCATAAAAAAATCTATTGAAACTTGATAAGAAAGCTAAAATATTCATGATCAGTCGTTCGTAGATGGAACCTGGAATAAACAATGCTGCTGCCTGCATGTCGGGCAAAATGACGTGTAAAAGTGGCTGTTTTGATGTGGCAGTTTGAAATGCATTCAGAATAAAAACACATTCATGGGGAGTGAGACTTCTCTGGCACAAAAAACTGAATGCATTTTAAAGCTTTATAAAGTGAAGGAGTTGTGCCCTAATGAAAGTCACTGATTGAACTAGTTTGTCTAAACCTAGAACTTGGCTTTTAAATACGGCTGACCTGCCGATTTTATTTTGTCTGAAAATCTCGCGACACCCCATCAGTGGGGCGACCATTTTTAACCACTCATGTGCAGACGTGACCCTGTGGGCCGATCTACCTAATTTTGGGTTTAAAAACTGTTATAATTATTTGTTGCATCACCTTTCCACTCTGGGAAAAAACAAATCAAGACCAAGTTATTTTAGGTTTCACTGCTCGTGATGACTGCCTGCAAACTTCTTATCAGCACTGCGTACACCTGTGGATAATTTGCAGTAAGTCATGGTATCGGAAGGAAGCTCGTCATCAGATTTGATGAGCAGATTTCGTGGCTGTGCAGTCGCCCGACTTTCAGGCCCTCCCCCTCCTCTCCATGCATGTCAACATGGCGGTGATGTGGAGGCAGCTGGCGATCCTCGTCTCTCTGCATCACTTCATTAAGTGTTTCAAAGCGAGCTGCTGGATGTGAAATAACACATCCTAACAGTGATAATCAACAGAAACATGATGCAAGTGGTGGATTTTAAAAGTGTGCAGCTTCGGTTGAGTTGGAAAGAGATGCAGGGAGACCGAGCGGAGAAATGATGTTAAGTGACAGTTAAATATGGTGTCTTACAAAACTATCCATGTAGACCAATACAAAGTTTGCAAAATTGTGAAGCGGAAGGTATAATTTTCAAAATGTTTTACGATAATATCTGAAAAGTGTGGCGTGCATTTTTACTTGCCAAACAGCTGGAGCTCAGGCAGACTGCACAGAGAGCATCTGTGAACATTGGTTAGATTTAGGTTCTAGATATCTGAAGAATCGATAATTAAAGTAACCATCAACTAATATAGTTGATAAATGGAGTATATAAGCAACAAAATAAAAATTTTCTGACAGAATAACACACTCAGATCAGTAATTAAACTAAAACTGTAATATATATATATGTACATTTTGCTTTTAAGATAAAAAAAATATCTTCTTTTTTTGTAAATATGTTCTACCCAGGACTCGTTAAGTGGCATTTTTAGTTTCACCTGGTTCAAATTCTCTACAATAATAATAAAAATCTTTTATTAAGCAACTTCTGTTATTCTATTATTGATCAGATAATCAAAACAATAATCAGCGCTACACTGCCATTCCTGCTCCTTCAAGCAGAAAGAACTGAGCTTTCGTTGATGTTAAAAGTATTTTTTACCTACAAATGACCAAGCATTCACTAAAAAAATGTAATTTTACTACATTTTAGGAAATAAATGTTTATTTTCTTATTTCTTATTTAAAAAAGGAATTTAATTTTTGTACAACTTTGCGTTGGTCACAGAAATTCCCAATAAAATACTTTATAATTTCCGGCTGCAACATGAAGAAGCAGAAATGTGAAAACATTCAGGGTGTTTGAATGTTTTTACATGATGTTGCTGTTTTCTGAGCTCTTGCTGAACAGGATCAGTCAGAAATTGGGAGATGATGCGTTAAGTTGAGATGGGTTAGGCACAAAGAAACCAAGTTATAGGAGGACTCGTCTCTAAATAACGAAAGGCCGCTTCTAAAAATCCAACCCTCCTCAGCAGAAAACCGTCTCTTCAGTAGCTGCGTTTCCATCACAAATGTGCGCAAAGTTTTTTATATTCTGATGTCGAAAAAACACAATTTTGCAATCGCGGTGTTTCTATTAAAATGACACGGAAATAAGATACTGCACACAATAAGTTATTAAAATTATTTATGCATGAGATGCATAAATAATTCAGTCGCTCATGACCCATCAGAGGAGACATCGGCGTCTTATTCAGGCACTGGAGCCACAAACCCCGCCTACTTGGGAGCGTCGTTTTGGGGAAACTGTAGAAGAGTTATGACTTCAAAACATTCGAATGACAACGTTTTATGGACTGTGCGACACTGTGGCAGCTCTAGTGGAGCCGGCTGCACATTGTGCAACGCCAGTGCCTGCAAATAAACTGCTGTGTACAAATTGGCGTAATGCGAATAAAAATGTTTCTGTGGAGGTTTGCGAAAACCATACATTTCCACATGGCTGAAAAATCACCTCATCCTAGCACAAAAGCATTTTATCAAAAAGATGGTGTTTGCATTAAGCTAATTTATTTTAGTAATTCCAATTTGAGCAATTTTATGGTCAATGGAAACACAGCTACTAACTAGCTAATGGATGGTGTCACTGACTGAGTCACATGGGCGACTCTGATGCAAGAATCAAAGCTGCCATTTTTAAAAATTTGCAACAGTGACTCATCCTCATGCCAAACCTTTTTATCGAAAACTCTGAATTTCTTTTAAATTAGCATAAAATTATTTTCAGAACTCCAATTTGGACATTGTTAAGGTCTGATGGAAACACAGCTCATGATCGTGACAAACTAAATTTGACGCCACTGCAGGTAAAACAATCCCGTGTTTGTGTCTAACCCTCTCGTCACGGTGAGGCAGCCAATCAGAAATGAGATGGCGAGACTTGCAGGTTCATCTCTGTCGGCGTGAGTGATGTGTGATGGTTTCAACAGGATGAGACGGCAGAGATGAGGCTCTGAAAGTAGGAGACTGACAGACACTGGGACACAAACGATGTCCAGGTCGGCTCTGAACGATTACAGGGCAGAATCAGGCGTGAAAAGGTCACTCTGGGGTCAGCTGGAACACACACCTCCTCTTCCTCTGAACTGTCATGGTCATGGTAGCCCTGGGCTATGGAGGCGGTCAGGGAGGCTGCCTTGGGCTCCAGGTAGCAGAGGCAGAGCGCCAGCGGGAAGGATAGGGTGAGGGCGTAGGGGACTGAGAAGGAAGTGGTGAGCAGGAAGAAGAAGATGAAGAGGAAGCAGGGGATGAGGGACGGCGACTTGATGGGGAGGAAGTTCTGCGCGCACTCTGGGACGAAGCGCATCTCGGACAGATCGGGGAAGGTGATGTAGCCGTCCTCGTCCAGGACGGAGGACAGGTCGGGCAGGTGCAGGGAGAAGGAGAAAAGCGTGCCGCCGGCACCGCGCCGCCCGCCCTGCTCCAGGCGCTGCTTGCGGGCGGACAGCAGCAGCGCCTGCTCCTCCAGCAGGGCGGCCTTGCGGTCGGCGCGGGCCTGCCGCCGCTGGCAGCCGCCGCCGCTCTTGGCCGGGCTGACCGACGACGCCCGCTTGCGGCCGCTCTCCCTGCGCCGCCGCCGCACTTTGGTCGAGGAGATGGGGGACGATGGGAGGGAAAGTTCGGAGCGCAGCGGGTCGCTGGCGTACGCAGGGGGGGGGAGCTGGATAATGTATGTGAGAAGCGAAAGGGGGGAAGGAGGCGGTGAGGGGGACACGCATGAGCACACACACGAGTAAAATGTGAGGGTCAAAGGAAGGACAAGAAAAGAAAAGCGAATTAGTAAAGCGGACAAAGGATGAGGAGCCTGACTATTGCAGAGGGTTAAGCTGAAAGCAACTGGGAGTTTTACATCAGCCATCAATAAAGAAACAAATAAACAGGAAGCAAGAAACAACAGGAAGTCTGAGTATACGCCTCGGTGAGAGCCGTTGGACAAATCTTTACCTTCGTGTCGTGTCTGAGTGGCGTCGTGGAGGCGGTCTCCGCGGCAACTTCCTGCGCATCCTCCTGCTCCGCATTCTCCTCCTCCGCCTTCTTCTCTGTCGTTACCGTGGTGATGATGTCCTCCTTGGCGATGACTTTGGGCGCCCCGTCTGCGGCGCTGCCCTTCACGGGAGTCTCATGGTTCTCCGTGATGGGAGCTGAGGAGAAAGACGGAGGAGACGGCCTTTAATCTGGGATTATCTGGGACTGCGACAGTTTTAAAGAAACAAAGACTCAGGTTTACTTTTAGCAACAAAAAAAAAAAGAAAAGAAGAATTTATGTAAACCATAAAATCAGAATATCTAAGTGATTTTTAAAGTTACAGCATTAAAAATCTATGTACTTTTCATCATGTGGGCCAAATATGCACTTTAAAAATTGAAACACCAAAAATTTAGTTTTTCTTTGTTTTTTTGTTTTTTTACCTGCTTAACAATATTTAATTCAACAAATAAAGTATTCAGAATAATATGAGATTGTAGATCCAAGACTTCAAATAGTTTTTCTTTGTTAAATGAAAGGCATCCAATTTTCTTATTATTTTCGTCTGGATTGAAGAAAAGTGAAAAAATGCTTCATCTAAACAGGATATAGGTCAGTCTTCATTTAAAAACATTTGCTGCCTTTTAATACTGCTTTAAAAGCAGATTTGGGTGAAACAAGTCAGCAGTTGTAGTTTTGTCCTAATTTGTGTAATTTTTGTGGCCAGGGGCAGGAGAGCCACACAAAATTAGTCCAGTGGCCCCAATTGGCCCCCGAGCCTCACTTTGAACACCTTTGCTCAAGAGGAAGCTGAGGAAGGCTTCTTCCTTCAGACCTCAGCTGCACTGACGCAGTAACAAACTCAAACCGAGCCTGAATGCAGAGTCTGCAGGCAGGACAATCTGACCTCCGTCTAAGCTGCGGGACATGTTGTAGCGTTTGCTGGAGGAGCGCTCAAACAGCGGCGCCGGCCTGGCGATCTGCGCGCTGGCCCTCCGTGTCTGAGCCTGGGTTCTGCCGCTGTAGCGAAACTTGGAGCCGAGGCTGAGGAACTTCTTCGGCGGCGCCTCAGGAGACACGAGCCTGTGACAAGTTACAGACAAGCGCATTAGTCAAACCAGAAATAAAACACCGATTTGAGCCACGGCAGTAAAAGCGCTCATTTAAATGCGTCTCCAGGGAGCCCCCAGGCCGACTTCGCTACGCCAAATGACTCGAGAGAACGCATTTTAGCTCGAAGCAGCAACTGTACATCATGAACTACGACGAGGCTCAGCAGAGTCTCTGCTTCACAGGAAGGAAATCCAGTACAGTGACACAAGCAGGAAAGTGCAAAGCAGGCTTGGCTCCCTCAAATTTAAATACTGCACAGAGAGAATTAATGTCATTTTACTTCATTCATATTTAAAACCCAACGTGCCTCGAAATGTATTATTTTTCAAAGTTCAGCGTATTTTATTGGGATTTTATGTAACATACCACCACAACATGTACATAAAAATCTGTGACGCACCTTTGCATTAAAAGGCCAGATTTATTCTCAGCATAAATGGAGCTGCTCTGTGTACAAATCGTGTATGGTTGTTCTTCATTTAGGGGTATCAAATTATCAGGGTTTTCTTAAATAGAAACTTTTCACGAGATAGCAAAGAAATACAGAAGTCTAGTCTTGAAGTGGCAAATGCATGAACTAGTTCTTCAGGATGACTGGTGGTGAAAAGAGGAAATCCTAGAAATGTGTTTATTATGGGACTAAAATGACATATTCTGGTCAAAAATAACAAAAAGGTTTTTTACTTTATTATTGAAGGCCAATTTAATGCAGATCAAGTTTAATGTCATCCAGGTTTTGATGTTTTCTACACCTGCATGTAATCTACCTAAAACTTTGGATTCATCAGGATTTATATGTAGATATATCTGAGTGTCATCAGCATAACAGTGAAAACATAAAAGTAATTAAACTGATCCAAGCACAGAGCCCTGTGGTACTCCACAAATAACCCTGGAGTGGGAAGAAAATTTATCGTTAAACTGGAATTTTTCTGTTGATCCATTTCATAAAATCTCAATAGAAAAGCAGGAGTTTTCTGTGGCAATGCGACAGCGTTCAAGTGGCAAAGACATTTTACCAAAACGCTACAGATGAGGCAGGTTTGGCAAACAGTTTTTAACCAGAAGTAAACTGTTACCTGAAGAAGGTGTGGTGCTCCACGCAGACCTTCCATAGCCTTTTGGCAGCGCGATGGTTTGGGAGCTTGAAACCAATCGTACTTTCAAACTGCTCAAACTGCAACAGACACAACAAAAAAATACAAACTTCTTGTTTTTATTGTCATTAAAACCCTGAAGAATATCCCCTAATCATATTACATGAACTGATTAATCGTGATTAATTGATCATTGAATTCATCGTTAACAAATTTAGTAATCAATTAATCGTTGGTGTACAGACTGCAAACAATGCCATTTGCTAAAAGAACATTTTCAGAGCTGTAATTATGCAAAGACTGAACAAAATATATTCACATTTTGCATTTAAGATAAAAAAAATTCTAGTTTTTCTGAAAACATGCTTGGCCCACCACTCAAATTACAGTTTTTGTTTCACCCCTTTTTGTGCAAAAGTGCTTAAATTGTTAAATGAAAAACCTGCAGAATGTCACAATTTTTTTTTACCCAATTAATTGACTAATCGTCAGAATATTTCATTATTAAAATGATTGGTAGTTGCAGCACTATGCTAGTTTAACTTTCTCGTTAACCATCTCAACAAAGCCCTACCTTCAAATTCAATGTCCCAATTCAACACTTAATGATTAAAGAGGCAAACCGTGATAAACTATGAAACATTAGCATTCCTACAATGTGATTTCTAGAATGTTTGACAGAGTAGTTTCCGTTTCATCCAAATTTTCACATTTTAAGAACCTCTGGGTTTAAATTTCCTGAGGAATCATGGATGACTTTAGCAGTCTGCTGCGGTTTTTACCTCGCCGGGTCGGATTTTGATGTAAAAGTTGTTCCTCTTGTAGGAGATCTTGAGGATTTTGGGCCACGCGAACCTGTTGATCCGCAGCCTGTCTCTGTAGATGAGGAGGCCGCTCGCACAAACTCCCAGCATGATCTCTACGCCTTCAGAGTCCTGCGACAACGACACGGTGAGAAAAGACATGAGCACACATCTGTTTCAGGAGGCTGGAGGAAAACCCACCCAACTGCATCACTCCCCTCTGTTACCCACAGCAAATAAACTTTCATAAACTCTTCGACATGTACGGGAAGTGTTCAGGCGTCACAGCAGGACAAAGTGGAAATGTAAAAGAAAAAGGTTTGTGGTGATGACAGGGGGTTGAGCAGGCAGGCATGGAGCGGAGTCAGGCGTGAGGTTCTCTAATCTCCTCTATGCACGCGGCGGCGACACTGAATGACGACTAGAGGGGCGCCGACCGGCAACAGTGAAGGATTTTAGGAAAAAAATAAAGATGATGCTCTTCACTGTACAAGCGTGAAATGGCTGGCTGAATCCAACGAGGGATCCGAAGTGGGAGCAACCAATCTCGAGTGATAAGTGGGTTGTGTTGTGAGGAGCCATGCACAAGTGGAAAACACACTCACTCAGGTAGTGTAAGCACATGGAAAGCGGCCTCTTACCTCTCCCTCAGCTGGAGCCAAGCTCTCATAGAGATTCCCTACCAACTTTGCATTTCATGAGAGAGGAGAGAAGACAAAAGAGGAAGCTCTTCTGATATGTACATATTTTCTTGTGTATCAAAACTGTAACTAACGGAGGCGGTGCTGATCCCCGACGTCTATTCAGTTCGATCAAAGCCACTTCCTCATCTCTGTCATCTCGTCCGCATCGCTCACGCACAGGACGATTCTGACTTTCAAAGCTCTTTTTGATAATCCGTTTTATGCTCTCTCTCTTTCCTGCCTGTTGTTCTGATGCTGCTTTTGATGCCGGTGGAAGAGAAACAGTAAAAGAATAAAAAACATAAATAAATAAAGAAAAACTAAACTAAAAAAAAAAAGTCAAGCTGGGCTCCAGATCTGCTCAGGCAAACCCACAGAGACAGCAGTGAGTCGGCCGGTGCAGAAGCAACATTAGACGATGTCAGACCAAGGGGTTACCGTGGCAGCCATGATGTTTGTCAAGCGGCTGTGCTGTGAGGCATCACAAGTAACGTTATGGGTGAAAAATGTGTGGGAAGAAACAGATGAAACATTTTTGGGACGTCTCGTATTTAGGAACGATTTGTATCGGATTTCCTGACGAACCTCAACTCTTTACATCTCACTAAGCAGGACAAATTGAAATAAGTTCGATCATTTCCATTCTGATGATTAATAATTTTTTATTAATCATCAGACATCAAAATACATTTTATTTCTGGTTTCATGAGTTGCAGGCGGTTTTTATTACTGATTTATTTATCATTTTTGCTTATCATATTTTATTTAAGATATATAAAATATCTTCTGGCTTCAGTATTAAGTGTTCCTAACAAAATTAAAGTTCATTGATCATTGTTAGGGCAAACTTGCATTATTAAGCCATTATTATTACTTTAAAATTGTCTCAAAACAACAATATTATCATTTATTGCAATACGTCCTCTGGACGCATCATGACCCAGTAAAATTTGTTATTTTGAAAGTTATTGTCTCCCGATAACAGCTGTTGGCTTACTGGGATTTTAAGTCACTCAAACGAACAATAAAATAAAATACAATAAAAAAAACTCCCTAGTTATATGCGTACATCTTGTGTAACTGGAATCTAGTCTATGTACATTATTCTTTTTTAAGTAAGCAGAAGTTTTCCACACTAACTTTAGTGTTGTTTTTTTTTGTTGTTGTTTACAAATGTTGCTAAAGAGACTGTATTGGCTGCTGCAGTTTTCCCAGACAGCTTTGGATTCAGGGAAAAGCTACACAAACAGCAGCTGAATCACTAGTTATTACATTTTATGACGTTCAAAGAAAGTGTTTCAGTTTATGAAGGGGGAGAGAAACTTTTTCTAGACGTTTTCGTCAGGAGATGATTAAGATTTTAAGCCCAATTCTAAAATCATACCAAAACAAGCAAAATAAAAAAAAGGAAAACATGCTTGTACTTTCTTTCTACTGCACCAAAAAGCTGTGCATAAATACATCGTCAGCAGGAGCACGTCTAGAGTTTCTCTGTAGCTGCATCGAGTCAGATGAATGTAGAGAAGGATGGACAGATAAGACTGCAATGAATCAAATTTAGAGAAAAACTCAATTATCCCCCACAAACAAACCAACAGAGACAATAAATACTTCAATAACGTATATAAAAAGATAAAAATGTAATTTTGCAGCCTGCCCTCATAGCGTCTTCACTTATAGCGCCAGAACAAGAGCAACACAAAAAGTGGGAGCGGTGCCGATATGCGACCAATTCTCTAAAAATCGCTGGAAAAAAACAGGCAAATGGTTGTGACCCATGAGGAAGAACATGCTAATAAAACATGTTATGTTGATGAGCATGTGATCAGCAGGTGGTGAGAGAGCGAGTCATGTAATGACCAGAGAAGGAGCAAAGAAGGGGCAGCTGGAATCGATATTAACAGAATCAATATTTGGATCAATATTTGATTTATCAAGCTATTTATTCATATTCAAGAAAAATAAGTTCCTTTCAATTTAGCTGCTTGATCTCTGGAGTCCTGACAGGTAAACTAATATAGTTTGTCTCAAATTTTAGAAATAAATTACCTAAATGAAATGCTAGTTCTGGATAAGCAATAGCAACCTGCCATTAGAAACAAACAACAAAAAGTACAAATTTCTCATGAAAATTAAGATTGTAGCTGCTGATTCTTTTCCTACACAAACAAAACCCAGAAAAGTATTTATCTGGATGACAATAACTGTTTATAACAGTTACTTTTTATGCCTTTTAAAATTAAAATACCAGAGCAGGTGCTTTTTGAGTTCATTATTAATTCACCAGTTGGCCGTTGCATTGGTAACAGAAGGAATAATAAATCAGGAGTTACCACTCTGTCGGCTCGTTACCTTAGCGTGATGGAGGTCGACCCCGTACATCGACAGCTTTTTGGCATTTTCCAGGAAGTGGATTTCGGCTTCAGCTGGTGTCATCCCCCTGCAGCAAAAACATAAGACAAATACTAGCTACCAAAATATCCTCGTGAATCAAAACAGAAAAACAATCAGTGCATGTACATTTAAAATCCGATCAGAGGCTCTATTTTATGCTGCATTTGTGCAGCAAATTAGTTTTTTTGTCTTATGGAAAGCTTCACCTCTTAAAACTGACAAACATTTGAATTACATCACTGTTACTAATCTATTTACAATTTCTTTTATAAATAAATTGTTTTAAGACGATGCACATGTAAGATGATTATTATTATTATTATTATTATTATTCGACTCCTTTCTAAGCTCTTTCTAAGAGAGTATTACACACAACTCATTATAATCCAGTGAAAATCGAGAGAGCAAGAAAAAAACCACAAAGATCATTGCTAAATACTCTATCCTTTCTAAAATGAATTTTGTATTATCTAATGTGTAAAAGCTTCATGCTGTTAAAAACTAAATCACAAATAAATCTCGGGAAACTGGATTATAAATCCTGTCCTCTGTGGATCATTTCCAAAGAAATACATTAAGTTTAAGTTACTCCTTTCAATGTATTAAGTGTATTTTTTTTGTACTTAGACCAGTGATGTCCAAAGTGTGGCCCGGTGGCCGTTTGTGGCCATCTGGATAATTTTATTTGGTCTCTCGTCCATAATTCAAGAATGGAGCGAATTTGGGATTAATTTGAGAGTTTTACAGACAAATAAAATCTTCTTAAGCATTTAATAACTTAGATTCAGGACAAAGTATTTTCCTGTGTTAATATTCCCGTTTTCATTGGTTATGCTTTGCTAAAACCAGCAAACGCTACATGTTTGCTGCAAAAAAAGGGGAAAAAAGCTTTGGAATCTGTTTTTATGTCATTTAAAACAGCAACTGTGAAAGAGGATGTGTATAAATTGGATCAACAATGATTTACAGATTCCAAATTAAACTACTTTGCTGTATGATAATAGTATCTATGCAGTTTAATACTGAAGAGATGAAAACAACAAATGTCTTAAGAAATAAGTCTTTAATTTAAAAAACAAAACATGGCCATCGAGTGCTCTTCACTTGGCAATATTGGCCCAAATGGCGAAAAGTTTGATTACTGACTTAATCAATAAATGCTTTCATTAATAAAGCATAACAAAACCACGGCTAAAGAGTCAGACACCAACTTGTAGGTCTTGTGGAGCTCCATGACCTTCTCCTCCAGCTCTTTGGTCTGGTTGGGCGCGAAGCGGATTTCGCTGATGTAGTCGCTGCCCAGCTCGTCCAGGTCGTAGTCTCCGAGTTCAGACTGCACCGTGTAGGAGCCCAGCAGCGTGTGGGTGGCAAAGGAACAAGGCAGGCGACCCGAAACAACGTCATCCCTCAGCTGCAAACACAGGTAGTACCTGGGAGGAATTAAAGACAAGCAGGTTTCAATCCACAGCGGTATTCTCATGTCGAACTCGGTTTAGCTCAAGCTCCAGAACAGTATTAATTACTTTTAATTAACTGCACCATGGACTGTGGTAGTCACTCAAATTCTCTTCCTAACAGCAGAATAATTAGTCCTAGAAATCAGTAGTAATTAGAAAACATGATACATGACCTTTGTAAATCAGCAGCTGACTCACCTTGTTAAGTCCTCTCTCAGTTGCGACGGGTCCGGCGGGTAAAACTTGACGTTAAAAGAAAAGTTCCAGGGTCCGTCTGCGACGCAGAAAGAGTGAGAGATAAACCACAGTTAGGATTTAGCAGGTTAGTGGTACAACAGGTTAGTCACTGGGATTTGGACGTACTCCGGATCTGCTTCTTAAGCTCTTTGGAAGGGTCCAACCAGTTCTGCAAAACCACATAAGAAAAAAGTTACAACCAGTTTCTACACAAATTACATAGAGACGTACTTCTTAAAAGTAGGAGATCTTAACCAGTGTGTCTCACTGACTTACTTTCAAAATCTAATCGAGGAAAAGTTACTGTACTTCAGCTTGAATTAATACGTTACAGCTTGTGAACAACTTTATAGTTTCATAAGGGTGGAAGGAGGGAATCACAAGTTAATTGTTTTCAGATTACCTTCTGACTCTCTACGTCTCTGTATGTGATGCCAAAGTAGTCCTTCTCCAGCAGGTTCAGGTGTTCACACACCTTATCAAAGAGCACTTGGCCTTTGGCTCGTTTCTGTGAGAAGAAAACCAAAAACTTGTTTTAAACTTGTATCAATTCATATATATCCTTGAAATAAAAAATACAGTTTCATCCAGATTTTGAGGGCAATGCAACTTATTTAAAGGTGACCTATTATGGTTCCTTGAACGGGTTAGGACAGGCCTATGAGCGATACAGAACATGTTCACTACATTTTGGCACAAAATCATCCTTGATGAGATTTTAGTTTGCTCAGTTCTTCCTAGTCTGAGATGTTTTAGGGCATCCTGTCACTTTAAATCCAGATAAGCTGCTCAGTGTGGCTCAACAATCAGGAAGTTTTTGAAACTGCTCATTTTCCAGACACCAAAAAACAGTAACTTTTAGCCAAAAAATGCTGAGTGTTTTTTAGAGTGGTTGGGTTGTTTTTAGAAGAAGCTGAGACACAAATAAAAGCATGAAAACGAGCAAAAGGTGATTCTGTATAACGCTTCCCCTTTGATGTGTTTGATTGCCGTTTACTTTTCTTTTTAAACACTGACGAGACGAGTGACGTCTCATTTATGTGATCAAAACATCTACACTTAAATTTTGAGAACATTTTTTGTCTTTACACATGCAGAGGCACCCACACCTCCAAATGGCACATACAGCTCTGTAAAACAAATAATAGCCCACTTCACTGAACCCTATTGAAAACCTCCTGGTTTTTCCACCAAATATTGATTGCTGAACTCTTCCTGATTGTCGTTTCTAAATCAATACAAACTTGTTTTCTTTGCGTTATTGTTTTTTGACCATTTCTCATTTTCTGCAAATAAATACTACATTTTTGCTTTGAATATCGGAGGCATGTTGTCAGCAGTTCATAGAATAAAAGAACAAAGTTAATTTTACTCAAACATATAATTATGTATTATAATTATACATATTGAAGCTGGCTTTACAGACACGCAAACAAAAAACGCTGTGATGTACAAAACCTCTCGGATCAGTCAAGCAGCTATGGAAAAGATAAGGACCCAGTAACCAGAGTAAGCAAGAGGTGAACTGTCTGGATGTCTGCGCCAGGGGAAAACAAAAGAATCTGGAAGGTAAACTGACCTCAAATCAGATGAGGAACATTGATCTTGATCAACTGTGTCTAAACATAGAACGTAAACAGGAACAGACTCACAGTGATCTTGTAGGAGAAGTGAGACTGCACAGTCAGACACTTATTTGGAAAACAAAATACCATTTTCATAACCCATATCATCTGAAGGCCACTTTCTGCACAAGTCGTTGCACAAACAGAAAGTCAGCAAATATAGTTTTAGATTTCTCAGCTGCACCACATCATAAATTTAAGACGCTTGACTAATAGTGGTTAAAAATAGAGAGAATTGTGAGGATACTTTCATCCTGTACAGCCACATACTATCCAGTAAGCACAGAAAGAAAAGTCTGAAGGTAAGAAGACCTTCACAAATTTAATATCATCATCTGGGAGATGCCGGGGATTTCATTTTCCCTCTATCACAACCTAACAGAGTGAGAAGTGCAGCTGTGGGAGCTTCAGCAGCTCCGTGTCGCAGAGAATGATAGGAAACGATTAGCCTGGGCTGCTTCCCACAGGGGCCAGCTGAGCTGAGCTGGAAAACTACAAGGTCAGGGGGATAAAAGTGTCAAGACTTGACGTCCCGGACCAGTCTCAGATGGGGGATGGAGGCTGGGAGGAGGAAGCCTCTCTGGTAATTAGTTTTCCGACCTCAGCTGGACTGGTCCTGTCTCATCTCTGCTGGGTTTAAACTGAACTGGGACGATGATTCAATGAAGATGACTACACACAATAACATCTTCACAATTTAAAAAAAAAACAAGAAAAAGAGAGAAAAAAAAACACAATAAAAAATGTAATGTATGTTAGTATTCTAGCCTCATGTCTTCTCCTGTCAGGCCCACATCATTTAAAAAATAATATATCGTACACGCAGTATTGGTTTCAGAAAAGTTTTCATCCACATGAATCCATTCAAATCCGCCCCTGTTGTTTTAAACATGCCAGTCCCGTAGGGGGCAGTGTAGCACAAAGCTATAACCTATGTCAGCCAATCAGATTGCTTCAAAACAAACAACTTCCAGCTAGGACTTAAACATGGCACCAGGAGGTTCGTTTGTGTGGACAGACATACGGGTGGGACTGCTTTTAAATGGTGTATTAAAATATAACATTATTAAAACACAAAACAATGTCAATCAGGAATCATGTTAAAGCAACTCTGTGGATCAGGGGCGACAAACTCATCAAGATCATGAATGCTCTTAAAGGGCCAGTGGTGCCAGAATGTATTAATAAAACCTGTTCACAAAATATCAATAAATTCTTAAAATTAAATTATATTATTGAACATCTTTTCAGTTCCTCCAGGATTTCATGATTCTTTTTGTGATTCTTTGCAATAAAAATCAACGTGTTTGTGGTACTAATCGGGAAATATTTGCAAAAAATGCAACTTTTTATTACTTGCTGCATAGATCATGGACAATAATCTGACATCAGTTAAAGCTGAGGCAGCTGTTTAGTACAAGTAAGAAATTTTAATTCTCAAGAAACTGTAGGGACTGACTGATATAATTTGGCAGTAAACAGATAAAAACTACATTGATTTGATTGATAACATAATATTTATCAGATTTAGTGTTTAGTCTAGAATCTAGAGGGACACATAGAACAATATGGTGGGCCGGATTTGGTCCACGGGCCTCGAGTTTGACACATGTGATGTAGATAGATTGGCACAGATTGTAATGTGCGGAACCCCAAATCTCCATTTTCCCCATGTACACACAAAATATTGAGTTTTATCAAATCTCCACTTTCGTTGGTTTAGTTTTTAGGGACAAAAAACAGAGTTTTCGTATGGATGAAAGGCAAAATGGATAAAAATGTGTTTTACCTTTAAACTGAAAATTAAACCACAGGAAATTCCTACAACAAATTAAAATGCAGCATCCGTCTCAAAGGTGCAAAGATAAATAAGCAATCCTTCCAACTATTTTACTGTGGTGGGACATCACAACAAAGTTTCTCAGCGCCGCAACAGGAACAGTCGGCTAACCTCGGCATCCGACCCCCTGCTGAGGAGGAATCTGCTAAATAAAAAGTTTTGCAGAGGAAGGTCTGAGCTCCTGTTCAGCCTGGACACATCCGAGAAGGTTTTCTGTCTCCAAACGTGGAGAAAAGCTCAAAGGGAAGCAGCGTTAGTGAAATGCCACACAAAGGTCTCATTTATTCCAGATACTGTGAGGATTCAAGAGAAAGATTAACTTTACAGGCAGAAAGAGGTTGTTATGTTGTGAAGCTCAAATTCACACATTTAAAAGGATAAAGCTTTCTTTTGTTTCAGGCTTAAGTTGAATCAATACAACTTTGAGGTCAGTTTGTCTCATTTAAAGCTTCTTATTTAAGACAAAAAGACAGAAGTTTATCATTTCTGTCTTCTCCACAGCCACTCTGATGTGCTGAGGTGCCCCATGAGGAGCTTTTCCCCCAGACAAGACAAATGTAAATGTGCAAATCTATAAAATCAGATACTATAAATCAGCGTCCTTCATGCATTTGGCTGCAAAACCTGTCCTGCTAAATGTCATGAAATTTCATGTTTGGGTAGAACAAAGTCGTAGCGTTATCCCGTCAGACCGTCAATTCCCGAAACCACACTCAAGAAAAAAATAAATAAATAAATAAAAATTTATAAAAGCGCAAGAGGGGTCAGTTCAAGCCCGCTGGACTGCGCACAGCGTAAAAAACTTGAGAAATTATTCCATTTCTTAAAACCGCTGGAAGGTTAATGAAAACAAAACCTCTCTTTAATCTTTTACAACAGCCGTAAACCACATTTACTGAAAACATTTCACCTCTGCCGCCTGCAAAGACTGACCTCCACGTTGACGGAGTAGTCGGAGCCGTCCAGCAGAGCGATCTTGCACTGCATCATCTTCACCTTCTTCACGCCCCTCAGGGGAGACCTGGACAGACGACTTGTGGACGACCTGTGGGATTCCTGGTCCTCCTCCTGCTGCTCCTGGTAGAACAAGTGCAAAACTTTTATAAATCCACAAGTATTACTACTGTGGACTCTGTTTTTTCATTCCCATTAGTACAGGGGTGGCCAAGTCCAGTCCTCGAGAGCCACCATCCTGCAAGTTTTAGAAGTATCCTTACTCCAAAAGACCGGGATCAGCTCTACAGAGGCCTGATAACGAGCCAGTCATTTGATTCAGGTGTGTTGAAGCAGGGATGCATCTGAAACTTGCAGGATGGCAGCTCTCGAGGACTGGACTTGGCCACCCCTGCATTAGTAGTATTCCTGGTCCAATGCTTCTATGTGCTATTGATGTCAGAAACAGAAAATTAACTCTCATCTTTTCTATAAAATGTACTCCAAGCACAATGCTTCTGTGCTTAGGAGTGTCTGTTTCCTAGAAAATAGCCACTGAAGCATCATTTGCTCCCAATACTTTCCAAGTTTTTCCGTCTCTCTTTCATGTCGCAGTAACAGCAGATTGTCTGCCGGCGGTATCCAACTCTAAAAAGCGAATCATTCCTTTAAATTGTTGCCACATATCTAATCTTGTACTAAATTACAATTTCCTCTCACATCTTAAAACTGTGAGGAGTTGTTGCACTCAGATTAAAACGCTTCGAAAGACCAGATAAAAACTCTTCTGTTGCCATTTTATTGTGTGAATGTCCTCGCCTGGATTGTCACTTCAAGTTATCTTTGAGGAAAGAATAAAACGAAAACAATTTGTGTCACATTCCTGAAGCTATAAATAATAACTGGGACCATGCCGGAAATTTAATGAGGTCCCACAGAGAGGAGCTTGAGGTGTACCACCGTTTTTTAAAAAGAGAAAATCCACTTTTCCACTTGCCCGAACACAAGGCCCTTCCTAACTGAATTTATCCTGAAAAACAAGCTTTAGAGAGGATTATTCATCCCTTATCTCACATCTCAGCTTATATCAATCAGCTTGCTCTGAGTTTTCACTGAAACTCAAGTGGACAGACTGTCCAGGCAGAGCCCAAACACAGCAGGATATCACTTGGACACAACAACAATGTGAAAGTTTCACATAAATAGTTAGACTTGTCACAATAACAAATTTTGCTTGACAATAAATTATCCAAGAAGCTCCTGCAATAAACAATAATTTAGTTGTTTTGAGACCATTTTCAAGTAATATATTCAAAATGTCATAATAATTTAGTCTACCATTTCAAAAGCCAACAAACTTTGATTTGTAAAGAACCCTTGATACAGGAAATGGACTTTATTTTAAATATCCAAAATAACCAAAACTGAAACCATAAATAAAATGGATTATGAAGTGTCTGTAAACAAAACTGCCCGTAAAAATGATCAGAATTGAAATGACGAAACACATTTAAATTTTTTTATCTTGCGATGAATTAATTGATAGTTTATTGCAGAAGGCTTATAAATATCTAAGACTGTTTTACAGATGCTGTTGAGTAATGTCTGATGAGCAGAGGTGCTGCAGACAAATGAAATCGCAGCAGAAAGCTGTTGCTGGAGCCACTTCCTGGGGCATACGCGCCCTCGGCTGGAGCGCGTTTCACAGGGATGACAGACGGCGTCGCGGCGCTGGGACTTTCCTCCGGCTCGGTTCTGACAGTTTACACCACAGTGCATCATCCATCAGTGGCTGCTTAGTGCAGCCCTGAACATTTCAGAGCGCAGATTAAAAAGGAGGATGAGGAGGAGGACGTTACCAGGAAGAGGAAATAAAACTGGTTCTGTTTTGTCTGCTGTGAATATTAATGGAGAAAAAAAAACCTGTTAAACCGACTCAGATACATGGCGTTTTCTAATCAGGCACGTCGAAGGGCAACAAATCAGAGCATGATTGAAGGACAAATACTAGTCAGACTAGAACATTTACATCAGTGGTGTCCAAACGTTTTGCACAAATGATCAAAAGCCCAAAGTTAAGCCAAATTTTATTTCCCCCCCAATTAAAAAAATATTATTGAGAGTTATTTCTCTTTTACCTGCACAATAACAAATAAACTGTAATATTTTTCATTTACTCTAAGATTTACAGCCATTTAACTTTTTAGGCTTATTAATTTCCATTTTCGAAGTACATAAAATGTTTTTAGTTTATCCCCAGCAAGGAAAACACAATTTTTCTTCTGCAACCTTTGCTGTATTTAACCCCAGTTTGTGCACGACTCATTACGAGATAAAAAAAGAAAAAAAGGAGGATATAACCATCATCATCTTCATGTCATACTCAATTGTTTTTTTTAACACCTAAACGATGCAATTTACAAAATAGTGACGTGTAAAAGCTTAATGCGTTGCAGTATTTGACAGTTTACAATGGTAATATCCCTAAAAGAATGTGTTTAAGCTCCTTTTGTCAACTTTTTAAAGTAGATTTCGAGATCCTGCAGGGAATCCACAGAATAACACTTTTTAATATTATACTGTCAAGAGTCAGTGATTAGAAATTATTTTTCCTAACAAAAGATAATTTTCTGAAACTAAAATAAAGCCTGGCCAGTGGATTTTTGTAGAAGAGGGGGATTTTAATGTGAAGAAGATGAAAAGTCATGAATCGTCCTTAAAAATAAAGTGAAGCTTACATGGTTTTACTTATTTAGGCGTACTTAGTAATTTTAAGAACAATTTTTCGGTCTAAAACCAAGTTGAGCTTTGACTGCCAAAGTGCAACTTCAGTGGCTCCGTTTAGTCACTGATCCCACAGTCAGTGTCAACCTTTTGGAATCTAGTTCACAAATAAGAAATATCCAAATGTTGCAAGTTGTAGCCAAATCACACGTTTATTTCTTGGAGAAATAAATGAATGGCGCAGCAGCTAAAAGAAGAGTTGGCTCCATCGGATTTGCGGGTCGTAACAATAGAGGAGGACACTGAAATCATGCTGTCACCGCAATTTCCATTTTCCTCACAAAGAGCCGATTCATTCTGGAGCAATCATGTTGTGAAATGTTTCCTTTCTTTAAATGGTCTAACACGGTTTATCTAGAACATGAAAGCTGTTTATTGATATATTCACAGGTTAAACCTTCGCTTTGTGTGTTTTCATGTCCGAGTGCGTTCCAAGGACGAGCAGAACATGAGGAGGCTGACCTGTTCTTTCCTGGCCGGGGTGCTGTGTCCAACTGCAGCTGGGAGCTGCTCCGGCTGGTTCTGGGGCGAGGCAGGGTCCGCCGCTGCTTTACTTTTCCCCTTCTCTGCCTCCTTCTTCGCCTGCGGCTGTTTGGCCTCAGAGTCTGCGCCCGATTCAGTTGTCATGGTAAATCACACTGCAGTGGAGGGGAAAAGCAGAGTACAGGAGAAAACCCTGAGTCAGTCGACAGTTTATGAAATGATAAAGTGCCTCTTTACAGGCCTTTCCGCAGATGATCTTCCCTCTGATGCAAATGCAGGGATGCCTAAATATTGGCTGGCAGCAGAGAAAAAGATCAAACAGACATTTTTAAAGTGTGTTTTTGATGATGCCTGCCATTTGGTTTGCACAAAGGTTTTCTTGCTTAAATAGGGCCAAAACACAGAAGCTATAGGCTTTAAATTCAATTAGGAATCTTGAATCTATATTGGTAATAATGCTAGTACTAGCATGTTGCTACCGATAGCAAACTTTACCCATCTCATTTAACTTAAGTTTAGGCATTAGCCTTCTATTACCGCTAATAACCTAGTAACACTATCTGCTATGTTAAACACAGCTCATGATACAGTCATGTTTTTTATGTCAACTATCATTAGCTAACATGCTACAAATTAAGTTATACAATAGTATTTGTTGATTTAATAAAATTAGCCAAAATGTAAATCATGCTATCCTAGCTAACTGCTATGGTATCCTAGCAAGCAGATACTGTTAGCTATAGCGTCCTATCTAGCAGTAGTTAGCATGCTAACAGAAATTTATAGAATGCCATTAGCTGCATTAGGATGTTAGCTAGCACTTTCTAAGCTAACACCAGACAAATGTCTCCTGTCAGACTTTTAAAAGCTAGAAACCAGTATGTTACCCCATCTATTAATCCTCTAGCAGTTTATATAGCATCTAAAATGTTACAAAACTGAACTAAAATGATTTTAAAGTTTATGAATCGCAAATGGAAAAAAAACTAATTTGTTTAGGTAAACAAGGTTGGCTCTAAATGGATGCATTTACCTAAATACTAGAAAGATTGATTATACCAGTTTAACCATTTCTTCTCTATGTAAAACTCTCTGTATGTTTGGAAAACAATGACAATTTGAGCATATTATGGATGTCAAACCTTATTTGATTTGGATTAAGCACAAAACAGTGCATGAAAGCAGATATTTTGAAGCTTTTTGTGAATACGTGCAGATCACTGAGATCAGAGATCATTAAGGGAACATTCACCAATTTAGATTTGTGACCAGTAATTAAGTACTTCTCCTCTAATTCACTCATGAGTACAAATGAATTACTTCAGAGCAAATTAAATAAAATGAAAATATGGACTTGTCTTTCAATCATTTATGAAGACAGAGAGATAAAGAGAAAAAGAGGACAGAAGGACATATGAAAGGACGGATAAATAAATGGATGGATGAATGGACAGATAACTTTTTGAGAATTAAATAGTGAATAAAAATCAGGAAATACAAATATTTTTAAATAGTTTCTTCTCTTTTTTCTTAGGAAAACCCCAAAAATAAAACTCCGGCCTTTTCCAGAACATCGTCTATTTTTGGGTCGTTTTAAAGCCAGACATGTTCCACACAAAAAGCATTTGCAGTATTTTTAGAACTTATTACAAAATTAGTTTACAATAGACTTAGTCTTTGTGTATCATCACCATTTCCAGTGTGAGAAGATTAAAGAACATGCTACATACACTGGATACCTTGCTGTGCAGAATGTTTACCTAGAGGAATCTGAAGTATCGTCTTTCATCGTTTTTCTTTTCTGAAACGCCAACAGGCACAGATATGGCGAGAAGACCTTCACTCCTGGTTTTTGAGAAGCCGGGACGGATCTCAGTGAGCTGGTGGGGCGAGGGAGGGGTTCGTTTCTGTACCCCGGTGTGTTGCTTCACACTCCACATCTATGCTGGGGTTGGTAGTACACATGCCAGTCATTCTGCTGCTGGCCCGTTTCTCCCGCAGCTCTATTTATAGGGACGTGTTTTTACCCTCGGGGTGGGAGGACCTCTGACTTCCAGCCGTCAACAACACTTTGGAACGAGGTGATCCCCGAAAACGTCAACGTGCGCGACAAAACCCAGAAGGGTTGGATTATTTTTAAATGATGCAGGAGTAGCAACTACATCTTACCAATTTTGACCATCTTCAATCCATGATCTGATTATGCCACACCTTAATTTGGTTCATCTTACTCGCTTCATGTTCTGTAATGGGGGATTATTTTTGAAGACATATTCCCTAACGAGCTGCTTCCTTTAATCCCACAGGAATTAATTAAAACAAGGCTTGTTTGGACTCAAGAAGCCAAAGAACTCGACTACAGTAAAGCGATTAAACGTTGACTGAAGGCAGCAATAAATCTCGAGTCTCGAGGGAAGCCAGAAGTATGAGTTTTAATGTCCAAGGGTCAGTGAACGCAACATGCTGATCTGACTCTTTTCAACTTTCGATGCTATAAAACCCCTATAAAGATTACCGGATCCAGACAGCAGGCCTGACTCAAATCAATGCGAAGGAATCACTGAGCCAAAAGATCCACATTCCAACCCTGACTTTCAAAAAAATAAAAAAAATAAAAATTTAAGACAGCACTGAGGTGAACTCGGGCAAAATTAGCAACCATAGCCTCTGCTTTGCCGTGTCACGTAGAAACCAGCTGACAGAGGACGGCCGCACAGTCGACCTTTGCATCCATTAACGCCCGCAAGAAACAGGAACTATGGAGGGAAGGAGGGAGGGGTGAGAGGAACATCTTAGCACCATAGAAATTGAGGAAGAATACGTTCAGTCACTGGTGACAGGCGCTCTTCACAGGGCCACACAACAGCATGAACACTAGTCCTGTGTGTTGCTCCTCGCCATGGGACCGCCGCATACATTGTGTCCTGAAAAGCTGCATTCACAACGCATTTAATGCCTTCGATTACAGATGATTGTTTAATATCAAGTACAGACAAAGGTAAATCTAGTAAATGCTTGCTTGAGAAATCATTTAACATGCAAGTTTACTGAACATTTTGCTCTTAAGCTTCTCAAGAACACAGGAAAAGTTCACATCTAATGTGAAATTAGATGTAATTTCTAATTATAGCTCTTATAACTCAGAGCTATAACTGTGGAAAGAAAACTCTACTTGTAAAAGAAGAACAACTATTTCAACAGCTTGTGAATTAAAGCGGTCCTGTTTGGTTCGCTTTAACTGAACTCTGGTCCGTTTGTCTGGACAGTTTGGTTTGATTGTCTAATTGAACTCTGATGTGGACCAAATACACAAACTCTCGTCCACATAAAAACCTCAGTCTTATTATGTGAACGCCAAGTGGACCAAGTCTACAGAAGCAGCGCAAGGTATTCTGGGTAAATACACCAAATTGTTCAGGCTATTAAAACGTTATCTGCATCAGCCCCTTTGGTGTTACAAGAACGCAAACAGAGAAGAGACAGATGTGGCCTTCAAAATAAAAGCGGTAAACACTTTAAGGAGATGTAATTAAAGATTTTTCTGCTGACCGCTTGTTGTGTCCCAGAGGTTTACATAGGACCAAACTGGATTCAACGAATCCGGTGCATTATTCACTCATTTGGAAGCAATAAGATTGTAGTTGATTTTTTCCCCCACACACTGCTTCCGCAGCTTAAATCCAACGTTAACAACTTGCATGGAGACTTTTGGCATTAATTAACTGACTTCTCCTGAGTCGGTGTAGCCTAATTGTAAGTTGATTAGGACCAGAGGAAGGCGGGTAGCGGATAATACTCCTCCGATGAGAATTATCCACGTTAACAGGAGGAGTAAATTCACAGTGACTGGCGCCGCTGACACGCCGCTAGCTGGACGTCTCTTTCGTGTCCTTCCTAACGCTGTGGCGGCGGCGGCTGATCGGAATGAAGCTTCATTACATAATTGGTCACTGACACTAAATGTGCCGTCCATGCATGTAAACCTCCATTTTAAGCTCCACTTGCGATTGTTCTGCACACTGCTGGAAAGCGTCCCATCGCGTGCGCGTCGACCCGCATGCGTTCATGTGAGGAACGCGGGCGCTGCCATCTGTGCTGGCCGCCATTCGGCAACGAAGTCACAGCTGGGCCAGTCTCTGCCAATCCAGCCCCCTCCGGTCGGTCCCGCCGGGGGAGGAATACTTGTCGTTTTTTGACACAATGGGACATGTCCTGAGCAGGCCTGAAGTCCATGTTGAGACACCGTCTGCATGGCTGCAGGATGGACAGCTGTCACACCAAACGGCTGCTGTAACAGGAAACCGCGAGGCTGCGCTGGACGCTCAGATATGACAACTGTTCAGCAGCCAAAGGGCTGCGAAACTCTTCCTTAAATCAGTGCAACACTTATTGGAAACAAGGTTAATTTGCAATATTTGTTAGCATTACTGACAAATATAAATACAGCTCTGAAAAAAATGAAGAGCCCACAGCACTGAACCTCATTGAAAACCTCCTGGTTCTTCCACCAAATGTTGATTTCTGAACTCTTCCTGAGTTAAAACATTAATATTGTTGTTTCTAAATGAATATGAAGTTGTTTTCTTTGCATTACTTGAGGTCTGAAAGCACTGCATCTTTTTGTTATTTTGACCATTTCTCATTTTCTGCAAATAAAAACAAAATTTTTGCTTTGAATTTCAGAGACATGTTGTCAGTAGTTCATAGGATAAAAGAACAAAGTTCATTTTACTCAAACATTTACCTATAAAAAGTAAAAACTGATTGTTTTAAATGGTCCAAATGGATCCAAATGACAAAATCTTAATAAATTAAAAACTAATTTAAATCATCCCAAAAGTTACTGCGACAAACAATAATGTTGTTGTTTTAAGAACATTTTCAAGTAAAATATTGGTAATGGCATAATAATGCAAGTGCGCCCTCTCAAAGATTAACAAATGTAAATTTCTAATTAATGTTTAACACTGGAACTGGAAGTCATTTGAAATATTAAAATTAATAAACAAAACACCTGGATAAAATGGATACTAAGTCTCTGTAAACAAAATTATCCTTCAAGAATTAAAAAAAAAAAAAAAAACCAGGCTGGTTGAGATCAATCCACCAAAATGAAGACTTTTATCATCCAGGTAGAAAGTGAGAGAGAGTTATT